TAATGTTTTAATTGGTATTTTGTCATTTTTTTTTATGTTTGCCACTTTTTAAATCTTTGTCAATGTTTGTCACTTTTTTTAATCGTTGTCACTTTTTTCAGTCACTTTTTTAATTTCTATCACATTTTTAATGACAAACATCAATTTTTAATAAAAGTAACGTTGTATGTCATTTTTAATAAAAAAAAACGACACTTAAACTTTAAAAGTGATAGTGGATCACATTTTCATTGCCACTTTTTTTTTTTACGTAATCAGCATGTGGATTGGCCTGAACGTGGTGATTATTTTAAGAACATGATTACTGGTGTTGCACAAATGGATTGTGTTATTTTGGTATTTGTCATTTTTTAAAAAAAATTTAAAAAGTGCTATTTTGGTATTTGTCACTTTTTTTTTTTAGTTTTGTCACTTTTTCATTTTACACTATTTTTTACTTCCAAAAACTTTTCACATGATTTTTCAAAACATCCCTAATTTTAAGGGTATTCTTATAAGTACCCCTATTTTTTATTAAACAAGGAACATAGGAATTAACTCTAACAAGTTTTCGACATTCTACAGCCGAACTTGTAAAAGCTTGACTGTAGAGTAGAGGTGGGTCTGACAGGAGCCCGACAAGTTTTAACACTCCTACTTTCCTCAATTTTTCTTGTTGAGTAATTCCTGATTATTACATGTCCAAGAAACAAGAATGCAACTAGGGTCTGGATAAGTTAGTTTTCATACTAATTTTGAACAAGTAAACCACTATATTTGAATAGGCAATACCCAGATGACTGATTCTTTGACTCACATTTTTTGTACATATCTTTTGGATTTTTCGTTTTAAACCAATTCTACAATTGGACATATATCTGGTTCAAACGTTGGTATCGAAGTTCATGAGACCTAGAAAGTTTCTTGCAGGCATGAAGGTGCTATTCAAAGGGTACGAGAAGATTAAGGAATCCCTTAACACTTCAAACTACAACAGCAAATGCTATTCGTATAGTATTAGATCAAAATATGCAACGAGCATAAGTCATGATAAAAGGTCCATCTAAATAATATTATTTAGAGAAAATTGTGACCGCGGTCCCAAACCTTTCATTTTGTTGCAGATTACACCCAAACCTTTTATTTTTGCGACTGAAGTCCCAAACCTTTATATGTA